CTAAGTCTTAGTCATGGGAATGTTTTAGGGATGTATCCATTAGGACGTGTCCAGTGACAAAGAGAGTATGCATCAACATCTTCAAATATTGTTAAATCCAAGAGTTGGTTTTGTAGTGCTATAGTTTCTGATCCCCACGTTAATCATCTGAGTACTGAGGAGTATCCCTAAACAGGTTGCATTTCCATGTTTTAATGCTGTCATGTCACAACAAGAAAGGTGCTTTTAGTGATTTCCAAGGTTTTTAAAGACTTCTCTTTAGAAGTCTCAAAACCCTTGGGTCAATGGTGGAATTTTCAGCCTGATTCAAAATCTGAATTTCTTTTCTGGTTAAAAGGAAAAGAGTAATCATGTTAACCAAGTCTTTTAGTTATCAGTCACAGCCTTAAAGTGTCCTTCATTGAAAAACATAATGTGCACTTATTTCTTTGTGAAAGCTCTTTTGTTTACGCGCCAGCTCTCATTGTAGGGTGCAGCTCAGATTTTTCTAGAACTCTAACCTTGTGGTAAGCTTCATTTTTCCTCTTAATTCATTGTTTTTAGAGTGGCTATTTTTCTTTCCCTGGCTTTGCAGTTCCTTGCACATAGCAAGCACTCAATAAATATTTATTGAATAGAATTGAATTTGACCTGCTTAGAAGTCATAGTCCCCGGGTAGGATTATTCATTTTAGGCAGGAGTGGCCATAAATCACAGAGTTTAGTAGTAATCCAGCTGATGAACTGCACACTTGAAGGCATACAGTAGCTCAGCTCCGTCATTTCTACTTTGTCCTGTGCAAACTTGGAACACAGGGTAGCTTGCAGAGTCCTGGTACACCAACTCCTTCCAGCCTCTTTTAGGTCTTCTGTACTGTATACCTATGGCCTTCCTGTGCACTCACCCTTTAGCACAACCACATGATCCCTTTCCTTTACCCTGGTGTCTCTTAAGCCTTCTAATTAAGATTTAACTGCAATATTCCTTTCTGCAAATTTAGGCATGCTTTTCTTGATGCCCTTGAGAATGTGACTTAGCTGTTGCTTTTCTCCTCTAGATCTTTGCTAGGTCCTTTGTCACAGTTCTAAGTTCTATGATTCTTTCTTACGCCCCCAGACTTTCCCACTATAAGACTCTATGAGGACAGGCCTGTGAGTTGCTCCTTTGTCTTCCTTCTGCCTGAAACAATGCCTGGCATGTATACCTACTTCTCTTGAATTAACAAATGGGCCGTGGAGTTCATGTAAATTTGCAAATGGAATAAAATAAAAATGGAAATGAGTTTAGAAGGGCATCATTAATTTATATGTGTAATTCTAATTAAATTGTAATATAGCCAGAAGAAGAGGAACCCGAGATTCAGAAGATGCAGGCTCTTGTGTTGGATTAATGGTTTTTTAACTGTCTCTTAATCTTTGTAGTTCTTAGCATTTTTAATCCGGAAATGAATGGATTGGATGAGATCTTTTCTAAGATCCCTTCGAGCAAGAATTACATTGCTCCTAAGTTAATTATATAGAACGAGGTCTCGTTTGCCAGACTCCTTAAGGCAGGGAGTATGTTGTACTCATCCGTAATTTCCTGGCACGTAGCTCAGTACCTGGTGTATGGGAGTTATTCAGAGAGTTTTTGTCCTTTAATCAAGCAGTGTGTTTCCACATGAAATTATAATTGGAAAAAAAAGCAAGTGACTAAAATGTCATGTAAGGACGAGTGAATTGGATATCCACAATACTGAAAAGTATCTACCAAAGAACAATTATAATGTCTCACACATATGTGATGTTTTTCATTAAGTAGTTAACAAATTAACCAATGGAACGAATGAATCTGAAGCTGCCCTCTTTACAAGTTAATAATTTATTAGTCTGTGATGTTTTACAAGGACATGTTGCTAAAATTCATCTGTGTTCACCATAAGAGGTTAGTAGTGTTCTTGAAATTCACCTGTCTGGTAGCTTTTGGTTTTTAAGAATTGAAATACTGGAGCCAGTAAGATGGTTCAGTGATAGAAGACACTTGTAGCCAAGCCTGTGACCTAAATTTTATTCTTTAACCCACATGGTAGAAAGAGAGAAGTGGCTCAATCAAGTTGTCCTCTCTCTTCCACTCAGATGCCTTCACACACACACATACAGACAAAGACAGACACACACATACACACACACACACACACACACACACACACCCTCTTTGTTATCTCTCTCAGCTCTGTCAGCCCTTTTACCTTACAAAGACCTGGTATTACTTAATAAGGGAGATTCCATCTGACCTTTGCCAAAAAATAATCTCTTGAGGATTAAGGTAGTCTTCTTATATTTAAGTGAAACCCTTACCCCTCATTTGTTAATTATATACCTATAGAACTCAATTATGAAAATTAAGCAAATTACACAGTCAAACCATTTATAAAAAGTGTGTGTGGGGGGATTTTGGGGGTGGTTCTGTCATTTAAGGCTAGGGTCACAATTTAAAAGACAAACGTGTGTGTTTACGTGTTTATAGACTGATTTTGTTTTCAGTCAACGAACCCTGTTTATTAGTGTGTGCAGTGTGCTGAGAACCTTGTCTTAGGAACTGTGTACACAGAGGGAGAAAAGAGGGAGAAAAGAGTTCTTTGGGATAATTGACTTTGTTCACGGTCAGTGCCTGACAGTTTAGGCCAGAGCAGTTTGTTTCTTTGCTTTTATAAAAAATATATGTTGGTATCATCACCTAAGCAAATGTGATAGTCTGAGGGCTGTTTATTTCATTGATTGCTGACAAATTTATTTTGCGTTCCTGCTTGCTGAAATGATGACAGTTTACCCATTTTGAGTTTGTGATAGCACTTTTATGGTTATCTAGTGGCGGGTGTTGAAACCAGAAACCATTGTCTCTGGAGGGTCTCTACTGAAACAGATGGCTATAAGCTAATGTAAACAGGCAGCTTTTGTGGAAATCTACAAGCCTGAGTAGTCATAGACCTTGTAAATAGGTAGCCTTGCCAGACAATATCAACTTAGATAAGCTCAAGTGAGTCATAGGCAGAGTCATAGTGACTTGTCCCCTGAACCTTCATCCAGCCGGTACCCGGTTCTGAAGATATCTGTATTCCCCCTGAACACCCACACTCCAGTGTCATTCCCTTCCCCACATCCTACCTTTCTGTGTTTATAACCCCTGTGTGAATGAATTACGATTTGAGAAAAAATAAATTATAAAAAAAGAAGAGAATTTTCTTTAGTGTTAAACAAACAAATAACAAAACCCAACAGATTAACCATTTGAGAAGCTCCCAAGACTGCACATGTTGATAAACATGTCTGCACTACTGTCTGACGAGCTGCCTCTTGCTTGCATGCTCTTCCATTGCCTGCATGCACTTCCTCTCTGACTTCCTTGATCCTAAATTATTTAGATAGCATATTGAAGTATTCTTTCCCACCCTGCAGCAACATACAGTGCTATGATCCTCTTGTGTACCTGAAGCCATTTTTTTAAATTCTTTTCATTAAAAAGTGTGTATCTTTAAGCTTTATTGCACAGTATGATATACCTCTGTAGAGAAGGAGGTACCATAGTCAAAGGAGTAAACATGTCTGCCTTGTTTTCTGGTAAAAGTGGCTGCAGTCTTTTTCCCTAGGGACTACATTGTGCAAGGTGACACTGCTAACTGTAGTTCCCGTGCTTCGTGTACAGCGTCTAGACTTGTGCATCCTCCTTCCGGTCACTTTGTGCCCTTGGACCTCCATCCCCCACTGTCCGTTCTTCTGCCTTTGAGAGCTATTATTCAACTTTGTATCTACGTATTTCACTTCTTCATTTTTAGAGTCTGTATATAAATAAGATCACACAGCATTCCCCCCCCCCCCCCGCCTTCTTTCAGACTGCCGACCCTGATTTGTCTATTTATGGAACTGACTGCATGCTTTGCATATAAAGTCTCTAAACCCATACTGAATGTCTCTCTAACTCGGCCTCCTGTTAGGCAGGTTCCAGAAATGTCCCTTGGCCACTCAGTTGCCACTCGAAAGGAGGATCATGATGATGGGAAGGAAGATGCAGGGTCGGTTATTTATTGTGTTTGAAATATTTGCTCTGAGCCCTTTTATAAACAAGCAAAACAATACATGTGCAAAACCTAGAGGAAAAGCACATAAAAGGAGGGACCGGGGCCTTATGTGGCACTGACATGATAGAAGCTCCTGCCAGTGGCCATGCCACCTGTCACGAGTGCTGCATTCCAACCTTATGAATGCAGTATGCAGTTCCAAAAGCTCTTTGTAAAATGAGTGAATTGGTGGGTTCCCAGGACCCTAGTCATAGGGACAGAATGAATGGTCTTTACTAATGGCTAAGTTATATTAACATGTAAAGGTGAAGGCAGTGTAGATTTGAATTACCACTTCTTCCTTTTCTTCTTCTTTCTTTTTTTTTCCTGGCAGAAAGTATTTTCAGTTCTTCAGGTAGCCCTTCCCCTTTAATGCTCTAATGAATGTGTGCATGTCACATGTTTATAGGCCTGGTTGACACTGTGAGGGAGAGAGGCTTGTTCAGACCTGACACGTGTTTAACTACTTAGTAACTCAGTTGTTAAGGTTCAGAAACAATGCTTTCAAATATTAATTAAAATATGTGAAATAGCTTTAGCCATGAACTTAATACAGTAAAATAGCATCTTAAAACTAAATATTCATTGGTTGCTTTCATTAAAAACAAGATTGGATGTTGTGAGGCGATTAGTGACTACTACACTGGAGTTCCATTAGACTGTATGCTCTAGGACAGTATAAAAAAGATAATCAGAATGATCAGAGGTGAAAATGAGGGTGGGATATATGCAAAGTGTTCCTGGGATAAGAGAGAGGGATTGGGTGTTGTAAGGGAACAGTATTTATCGGTGCTTTCGAAGCAGATTCAATAATTCAGATCACAGATTGCATTGTGGAAAAGAAAGGGGACATAGCTCTATTCATTTGTAACTTTCCTATGACAGAGAATATTATAGCTTCCATAAAGTATTTTTTCTTTGTTTTTAGGTAAGACTGTGCCAAAATCCCAAACTTCAGTTGAAAAACAGCCCACCATATATACTTGATATTTTACCTGATACATATCAGCACTTGCGACTTATATTGAGTAAATATGACGACAACCAGAAGTTGGCTCAACTCAGCGAGAATGAGTACTTTAAAATCTACATCGATAGTCTCATGAAGAAGTCAAAGCGAGCGATCCGGCTCTTTAAAGAAGGCAAGGAGAGGATGTACGAAGAGCAGTCGCAGGACAGGTGAGCACACTTGGGGTGTGTACTGTTCGTTGTCTCACCTTCTTCCTGTTGCTTTGTGTCACAGGGTTAACAGAAGTGCCGTGCATGTGTTCTGGGAACTTTGCCATCTTCTTGCCCGTTTCCTTTTCACAGTATTTAAGTTTGGCAAAAATGCAGGTGGAACATCGAACCTCAGCCAGTGGTCTTGCTTTTTTCTCATGCCTCCTTTTTAGAGCACTCTCTCTGTGTTTCACAGAAGGACTGCTCCTGGTAGTTCATCCTGCTTCCTGCCAAGCAAGCAGTCTTCTCCAGTCTACATCTTTTATATGAATTTTCGTGAAGACATGCAAATAAGCAGCTCTTCTCCCTAGATAGGCCACTGACCACAGAGAAACAGTTCCATCCTAGTCCAGCTTGGTAAACCAGCGTGATTATTGGGGTTACATAGCGAGGTTGGGTGACTGTGCTCCTGAGAGCATCACTGCAAAGTACCATCAGCATGGGTGATGGCACTGAAGTCCTGTTACTAGGATCTTATCTTCAGCTAACCTTCTTCTTCCTATATCACCCCCCAACCTCTCCTCAAATACCAAGAGCCATGGGTCTCAGAAACAGTGGCAGCTGGACTATCAGAGGCAGCCAAGGGTCTGATGAACGCTCTACCTCATAGTATGGGAAACTGTCATGAAGCTCCATTCCTATGGGTGACGCTATCACAATATGGTTTTGTCTTATTTTCTTGCCATCTGTGTGTGGTCAACACTTTCTGTAGATGATGATACCAGTATCAGCTCTGGGATGGATATGGTCATGCTGATCAGCATTGGGAACGGAGCTTCAGCACAGTGCCATCTTTGCTGTAGTGTGGCATATACTACCATTGACGAATCAGTATTGGTCGGATTGTATTAAGGTTCACTACTTTTATTGTTCTGTAAACATACACTTGCCACGTGTTTGCACATAGCCTATAAAAACTCCCTGTGTTGGGCTGGATGAGTGGCTCAGTTGTTAAAATGACAAGAAATGCTCTACGTTCAACGTACACAGTGTGCAGTAAGTAACTGTTCAGACTGGTTTCTTGCTGGTCTTTATATAGCCTGACAGCCTCCCTTTTTATTTCATGGATTATGACATTGTATGTTTATATCACAGTTTGTTTCTATACCCTCTTTTATGTCGAAGGGTACCTTGACGGCCTAAACCTTTTGGCAACTGTGTTGGAGCTAGTAGGAACATTCAAGCCATCTGGGTAAATACTTAGCATGGTTGTTAGATTTTATGACTTGCTTGTGTTGAACTTTGTAAATTCTAGCTTGACATAGTGACAGTGTTGTTTTCTTTTCTGACCAATAATGAATGAGATTTCTTGATGCATATCTGCTTCAGCATCTGGTGTTGGAGATAGAGATTCACTTTGAATCTCTTTGTGAAGTAGGTAGGAGTAGATACTCCTTCAGCATACGTACTTTGGCCATTAAGTGAGAAACTGGCCAGGGAAGACTGATAGGACATTAAGTTTTAGTCCTTACTTTATAGTCAAGAAGTGTTCTCGATTTCTGTCTCCATTCTTCTTTCTCTTTCTGTCTCTGCTCTGCCCCTTTCACCCACCCCTCAAGACAAGGTCTCATGTAGCACAGTATGGCCCTAACCTTCCTTTTACATTTTTTCTTTTTAAAATTTTTATTTTATGTGAGTGGATGTTTTTCCTGCCCATCTGTATGAAAGTATCAGATTCCCTGGAACTGTAGTTACACAGTTGTGGCCTGCCATGTGGGTGCTGGCAATTGGATCTGGGTCATCTGGAAGAGCAGCCAGTGCTCTTAACTATAGAGCCATCTCTCCAGCCTTGGCCTCAGACTTTCTATGCAGTCATGGCTTGCCTTGAACTCTTGATGCTCCTGAGTCTACCTGCTGATATTACTGGGATATCACTCTGTCTGTGCATGGCTCTAGTCCTTGTGAGCTCTAACGGGATGAATTCAAGCACACAAAGTGCAGTAAAAAAGAGACAGAGTTTATTACAGGTATAATAATCTCCAGGAATGAGTGTGGTCAGTAGCCAAAGTGATAACCATGTTAACCTCCATTCTTAGGCTTTATACTAGTTCTCAGTGTTTCTAGACCAGATGCCCTTTCTGAGGGGGGAGGGTTTCCTCTTCAGAAGATTGATAGCCCCACTAAAGGGTGAAGGCAATCCCTTGTCCCTTATTTATGAGAAATTCCCTAACTAGATAGTAATCAGTAAGATTTTGGTGGCTGTTTAGAATGTGGTGTCTCCACTTGAAGCCAGAGATAGGATTCAGATCACATTCTTTTGGCCAGTTAAGTCCTCCAACTGCAGTTCCTGTTTATCAAGCTGCTGATTATGAGATAGGAGTCTCTCCTCAGTAACCTTCAGACCTGCCAGTATCTAAATATTTACTTAAACCAGGATGCTGAGCTTCTGTAGCCAGGATTCTTTGTGTAAGAGTCCACTAATGTCTGGTGTCTGGCTCTTTAGGTTTTGGAGTTAAATATCTGTCTTCAGCTAGATAATGGAACTTATGGTTCCCCCTTTTCTGAGCTCCTTTAAATTTATCTAGACTATTCACCGATAGTAGAAGTATTTCCAGCTGGAAAACCAGTATGAATTAAGAAACGTAATGTCTTATCATTGGCTAAATTAATTTACCTCTCAGTATTTGAGTTAGGAAAATCTCTAAGAGATATGCTATCTTTCATATCAGAAAACATAACCTCACTTGGTTTGAGATGGTTTAGGGTTGTGTAATGGAAAATTTAGTTATCTAGGTATGTAGGCTCCTAAATTGTTTGTAAGATCTGGCCAAATAAATACACAGAGCATGCAGAACCATCAAATTCAAGCACAGCCAAGGCCTCTGCCAAAGGTAAAATGACATAAATGTTGATCTCAAATGTTTTCCAGCTCATTCACCGTCCTAATGTACCCATGGAGTACAGCAGTTCCGTGACTCCGCATCCTTCACTTAAGTTTCTTGGAAGACAGTTTATATTTCTTGAGGGTAGTAAATTTTCTGGCTGCCTTTCAGTTGTAAAGCTCAAAGCCTCCCCAGGCCCTCAAACTCAGTGAGAGTTTGAATTGCCACAAGATTCTAGCACCAAGGTAGATGGAGAGAGACCATGAGGGTGGGGAGTGGGGGTGGGATTGTTCTTACAGGCTTTACAAGATGGATCAAGATTTTAAATTTCAGATGTTGATGTAAATGTTTTCACATAGTATTTGTACTACTTACAAAAAACAAACAAAACAAAAACAAAGCCCCAAAAAACTAAATTGCTTTTACAAATGTCACTGTAATTCCTATTTAGATAAAGCCTCGAAGTTCTTGGTATTCCAGCTAAGTACTTTATGACATCAGGATGCCAGCAAAGTGTGTAATTCGCAGGTCAAGCACTTGGAGTAGAATTTGTGTTTTAGCCGGACTAAGATTGACGTGGTACACTTGCATCCCACTTTTATGTCTTCCAAAGAAACTTGAAGCATTTTCCAGTTCAGTAGATATTTTATAATTACCACTACACCAACTGTTTTGCATTCAAATCTATGTTTGTCCAAAAAAAAATAATCACCGGACACATACAACAATTTGTTAAGTATGTAGAGCTCCACAGACATTGGTAGGTCAGACAATGAAAGGTCACATAAGACTGGCCATAACTAGTCAACTGTGTGAACTGCATATGTGGCCCTGGTTTAAGTATCCAGGTAAATTTAATTATTCTGTCTTAAAATCAACTGTAAGAGGAAATACAGTTGTTTAGATGCTGGGATAGCATATTTCTTTATTGAATTTTACTCTCGTCCAAGACCTTTTATTTTTTTTTTTAAATAGTCTGTAGCCAACCTTTGAAAGTACACATTCTTCTGAGCTAAGTAATTTTCTAAGGATTCGTTAGAGTGTACCATTGGCATATGCACCGAGGACATCGACTCCTGATCTCTGTCTCTCTGGCACTCATATACTTGTGCACACTCACTGCTGAGCATCCGTGGGAGTCTCAATGCAGACTGATGTGAGGTATATTATTGCACATGGAGCTCTGCAGCAGTTTGCCTTGTAGAACCTTACGGAAAATTCTAAGACTGTTCATGTGGAAGTTTGGCTCCTGACCATACTGTTGAGTAAAATGACCACTGATCATGTCAGACATACTGGATATTGGGAATCTTAGAAAGCCTTTGGACTGTCCTGTTTGATTCTGAAGTGACTCACTGGGCACAGTAATACTATTAGGTTGACACAGAAGAACAGCAGTAGAAAAGGCCATTTTGAATTCAGCCACTTACACCAGCACTGCTTCAAGTGATTCTCTACTGAATAAAGTTGTGTTGGATGAGAGCCTGTGTCAGGATCATCAATGTCCATGTGTCTGCTGTGTCAATAATAGACTTAATGGGCTTCTTTCTGCCTTTATTTTAAAATTAAATATAAATTAAGAGAAAACCTTGGGCATTAGTTCTGAAAGCAGAGCTGTATTAGTTCTGAAAGCAGAGTTTGCTGCTAAAGAAGATGTGGCCTAAATTGTTAATTTCCTGCTAATATGATCTACAATTCAGTGTAAAATATGTACAACAAATCAATGTAGAATAAGCCAACGGCTTTCAGTGTATTTCTTTGTTAGTACTATGGTAGGAGTGAGTGAGGTAGAGCTTCTAGCTAGGTAAGTGTCTCTGCTGCCCAGAGAGACATCTAAGACACAGTGAAACTGTTTCCTTCATAATGGCAGATAATGGTTTCTGACAGAAGAAAGGCACGTGCCGCCCACAGGGTGGGGGGTGGGGCTAGATTGGTCCAGTCACCCTCCTTTATGTCTCTTCCCACGTGTTAGAGAAGCAATTGAACCTCACCTGGCTTGAGTTGATGTGTCTTCATTGGGTGTTTAACTCGTTCTGAGCGAGTTAATGTGTTTTTGGGAAGAGTTGTGCAGTGATGTGTGACGTAAGAGTTCCTGTCAGTGCGCTTGGTGGGCAGCAGGAACTGGTAGAGAGGTCTCCT